CCAATGGAAGGAGGTCAATGAGGACGTAGCCCACTTGTGTTGACATGTCACTCATATGTGATGATGTCAGTAACATTTGACCCTGACCAATAGCCAGCATTTCCTGCAAGCCTCAAGGCATGTGTGTCTGCTCAGATCTGTCAGTGCACACATCCTGTGCTCACATCACCCAACGAAGTGGTAGTCATTCAGCACTAATTCTACCATTGTTAACGTAAAAGCCTGGATATAATTTCCCTTAAACAAAACTGGTAAACTCTCCTGTATGCTCAAACCATGTCATTAGAAGAAGATCAAGAAAGCCTGGCAATTTCATTAAATCTTAAGTGGGACTTGAGCAGCAAAACAATAAACAGTGCACTAAAAACCAGTGTGTTAATAATTAAGACAATACATCAAAATAAAATAACACCAGTTTTCAATTTCAATCAGCATAACAAACTGTTTTGTACAGCAAAAAATAACTGGAACCGAATGACACCGGAAGCCTTGTACAGTTACAAATGGCTGCGCATGCTCTTACATTTAAAAAAAAGGTGGATAAACCGATTATAAGATCCTACATGTGGGTGCTCATTGAAGTGAGCGGTCAGGCCAAAAAACATGCTTGGCACATGTCTCTCATTACACACAACCAATTAAGCTGTTGTGGTATGCTTTTTATTTGCTCATCCCCAAATGTTTGAGGTCACAAGGTGGGCGAGTGCATGTGCTTTCAGTACACAAGGCCGCCAGACCGCTGCATACCATAGCTTGGCGGCTAAGCAAAAGCGATAGCGCCACAAACATGTGCATCCAGAGCTGTTATTAGGGTGAAAGCAGCAATATTCCTATAAAAATCCAAACTATCATTACCATCCTGACATGTCATTTTGAAATTATTTTAATAGATTGAGACAGTCTTACTGTCTCACCACGGGGCTCTTCTAGCCTGGCACAAATGGTGCTATATTGAGAGACCTCATGTGCCCTATGAGGCAGAGATATCTAGCTGCCACCTTTGGCACATAGTGGACAGAGGCAGAGATAGACGCATACCCTTGAGAAAAGCCTGACCTCAGATGACTGCCTTTAGAGTTAACCTCCATCGACTATGGGAATGACTGCATGCATTGTTTAGAGAGCCACTGTGGTCTGTCAGACAAAAGGGTGAACACACAGAAAATGAGTCTCATTTGTAAGTCTGCTTTGAATCAGCAATGATCAATAGGCTAGTTTTGAATCACCCAGGGCGAAGTGAAACTAAAACAAGACTGAAGTGACTTTGAACTTTGGAGGTAAATAGTTTACATTAGCAGAGGTCCCTCACAATTGAGAGCAGCTTATGTGCAGTATAATTTTCTGATTGGACATATAGGGTACATGGGAATTTTTTAGGAGTTAAAGTCGACATGAAATAAAAATTCACCATAAATGCATGTTATTGATCTTATTGTGAACAGTTCATCAATTCTTAATCAAAATAACTTGATCTCCTGCTGACAGACGTATCTGTGGTGACGTATGTTGGACTTCTCCAATCATTTCTTCCGCTTAAACTGAGAAGAAAAGTCAGAATTGTGAGATATAAACTCGGTATTGTGAGATAAAATGTTGTTCTTTATTTTTAATTTCCTTATACTTTGTAAAACAAAAACTGAATTGTGAGACTTCAGAGAAAAAAAGAGAAAAAAGTAAGAACTGCAAGATATAAACAAGCAATTCTGAGAAAAAAAGTCACAATTGTGAGAAATAAACTCAGAATTGCTAGAAAAAGGTTTTATCTTACAATTGTGCTTTTTTTCTCAGAAATGTGAGTTCATTCTGAGCTTATATTTCACAATTCTGAGCAAGAAAAAGTCAGCAAGAATTTTTTTTTGAAAAAAGTCTGAATTGTGAGATATAAACTTAAAATGCAAGAATATTTTTTAGGAGTTAAAGTCGACATGAAATAAAAATTCACCATAAATGCATGTTATTGATCTTATTGTGAACAGTTCATCAATTCTTAATCAAAATAACTTGATCTCCTGCTGACAGACGTATCTGTGGTGACGTATGTTGGACTTCTCCAATCATTTCTTCCGCTTAAACTGAGAAGAAAAGTCAGAATTGTGAGATATAAACTCGCAATTGTGAGATAAAATGTTGTTCTTTATTTTTAATTTCCTTATACTTTTTTAAAAAAACAAAAACTGAATTGTGAGACTTCAGAGAAAAAAAGAGAAAAAAGTAAGAACTGCAAGATATAAACAAGCAATTCTGAGAAAAAAAGTCACAATTGTGAGAAATAAACTCAGAATTGCTAGAAAAAGGTTTTATCTTACAATTGTGCTTTTTTTCTCAGAAATGCGAGTTCATTCTGAGCTTATATTTCACAATTCTGAGCAAGAAAAAGTCAGCAAGAATTTTTTTTTGAAAAAAGTCTGAATTGTGAGATATAAACTTAAAATGCAAGAATAAAAGTCAGAATTGTGAGAAAAAGTGTCAAATTTTTTTATACATTTTTTATTCTTTGACAGAAACAGGCTTCCATACATGTCGTAAAATGGAAGAAAAGCTTTGTTCCACTTCTGTTTCATTGCGACTTTAAATTGCATGCAGATTTGAAAAAGAGAGAAAAAGAGAGTAGAAAATCGGCAAGTGATTTTGCAACTGTATTTCACACTTTCCATACAAGTAGGTCAATTTTTGGCAGGCCTCATTATCTTTCAATTTTAAAGTGCCCCTATTATGGGTAATGAAAGCTTCATATTTTGGTTTTGGGAGTCCCCAAAAACAGGTTGACATGCATGCAATGTCAAAAAACACTTTCGTTGTCTTATAATATGCATTTGTTTTTACCTTACTTGCTCAACGACTCCCAAACGATTCGCTCAACGATTCATTTTTACAAACCCCCTCCTTTGTGTGACGCTTATCTGCGGTGATTGGTCCGATTGGTCGATTTAATTTCCATTTCATAATAAAAGCTGCGTTTGTGAGCACAGTGCTGCTTTGTTTACAGCCGTTACCGGGGAAACCGCTGTTTTTACCACTCCAAAAGCGTACCTAGTGGCAATGAATGAATTTGCATTTGCATTATTCAGACCAATGCGAAAAGACCAACAAGTGGGCAGGCAATATGCTAATGTTTCATGTTGGCATCAACATGAGACGGATTGGGATTCGTTTTAAAAACGACTCCTTTCAATGATTCAGAGTCGACTCTTTCTTTTGAGAGACAATAACTTTATACACGGTGCACTTTCAGATTTAAAACTTTGCAGGGTGTTTTCATTCACTTAGAGCTGTGTTACACACTGCATGAAAGGTAATTTTCATAAATCCATAATAGGGGCACTTTCATTTTGTTTCCTCCACATGTAGTTGCAACAATACAAGAAAAAAGGCTTCTTAACTTTAAGTGCTACATTTTTTACTTCAGTAAAAGTTACTGAATTTTTATTTTGTAGATAATTCAAATCAGTAATATTCTAGTTATTTATCAAAGCTAGTGTGTACTTTTGGTGTTGTCAAACGCTAATTTTAGATCCAGCCAACAAGACTTTTCAGTACTCTACAAATCACCCACCTAATAATAAGTAAAGAGTAGTAATAAGGTTCACGTTGTGACAGATTATACCAGTTGTATGTGTGACACTGCTCCAGTTGTATTGACATTTCATCCCATTGAGTTCCTAGCATGGTTTGGATGAGGCACTACAGGCTGGCGAAAACGTCTCTGTTCTGAGGTGACCCACATGATGTTATTTTCAGACTAAACAAATTTAGCTCTTACCCATGGAGCTAATTCTACTTGGCAGTAAAATTTCGTGCTCATTGGCAGTTTCTTCTATCCGTCCCAACAACTGAGAACCTTGTGTACATCTGTGCCACTGCAGTAGATAAAAAGCCTGCTGAGTTTACCCAAAATTGTTATGCCCTCCTTTGATAGTCACCATAAAATTTTTACATATTATGGCACTAAATAGTCTTGCAAGTTTGCAAACTAAGCAATGGTGCTTATGCAATGTAATTTAATCCTATCAAAAGCCTTTCAGAGTCTTGAGTAAGTCCACATTCTCCACAACAATAATTTTCTCATTGGAAACAAACAAAAATTAATATTTTATTAGAACAACACATTACATAAGGAAATGGTCTAAGCAGATCATAAGAATCAAGTCTATGTGGTGTCGATCAATGTGTCAGTCAAAATGAAATGAAATGCTAATCTGTCTTAAGTAAAGAACATCCCTCTTAAAGAGCTCAACCTTTCACTTGACTGTTGAATGAAAGTGTCACCTTGGGTAGTTTTAAGAGCATGACACAAGCAAAATGTCACATTGATCTGACAAGCATCTGAATTCTGCCCCTTTAGACTTGGCGACGGCACAATCATGCTCTGAAAGAACTGTCTGTAAATGCATTTCAAGATGCAAGGTGCCTTTCTGCCAAATAACATTTCATATATAAACATACCAAAAAGAGATAAACCAATAATACAATCTTGTGATATGAGATGACCACAGAAAGCAAAGACATAATAAACAAAAAAAAGTCTATTTACAATAAAAGATTATGAAAACTGCTAACAATTTTTCATTCTCTGAGAAAATATTGTATTACTAATTCTAAACGCAACTCATCTGACAATAAGGATTTAAAGAGAAATTAAAATGTTGTTTTTGTTTATTTAACCTCATGTTGTTTCAAACCCATATGGGCTTCTAATGTAAAACACAAAAGGAAATAGTTTACTGAATATCAGGGCGGGTGAATTCAATACAATGGAGCTACATTGTGACCCATTTTAACATTTAATAAGGCACCCAAGAGTGTCAGCAAACATTTCCACACAGCTTGCCAGTATAATTTCCAAGAGAAATTGACCATGAGTCACGATTTTCCAAGTAAACTTTACCACGAGCTATTGTATTGAATTCATCCTACAATGTGAGTTTTTGCACTCTTTTGTGACTTTTTGTTGTGAAAGCCATAGGGATAAATTGTTTTGTTTTTAAAAATCTTGTGCCGAAAATTCATGTTCACTGTGAATGGGATAAAAACAGTATTCAAATGTATTAGCCACTAATATTGCTACTAAGGTTCTGTCCATTTAAGACACTGTCACTTCTTTCCTCTCCTTTGGTATCCTGAGTAGAAATGTCCACACAGACCCATTCCTAGGAAAACCCTTCACCTGGTTAAAAGGTTTCCACATGTTCCCTGTGATGGTGTACTCCATAGTCATGGTGCGGTTCAGCGTGAACACAGAGTCTCCTCTCACTACAGAGGTGAACAGTGCCCCTTTGCTGTTGCCATAGTGCCCAGGCATTGACGTCCACTGTCCGGTGGTGATGTTGTAGCAGTCCATCAAACAGCGCAGGAAGTCATCTTGGGGACCGTTGCGAATGACGTAGAGGTTGTCCCTGTGGGCCACCATGCAGTGTCCGTAGCTCTGGTGCTTCAGAAGTGTACTCACCAGAACCCACATATCCTGGTTTGGGATGTATTCATAGATTTCATTAGTCTCCATCGGCTTCCACAGACACACAAAAATTCGGCTCATGGCTTTGGTGCATGCGACCCCAGCGACCGGTCGAGGTAATGGTGCTGCGAATGTCCACTCCTTTGTGACAACGTTATATTTCTCAACTGAGGACATGGTGGTTCTTCCAGACTCTCCTCCGATGGCGTAGAGGCAACTTTCTATCCCAATTAGGGTGAAGTTGTACCGTGGCTGTCTGGGACCTGGTAGCAAACTCCAGGTGTTGGTGACAACATCATAGCAAAAGCTAGCATCAACGGGCCTCTTGTCAACACCGTGCACACCTCCAACAACGTAGAGTCGGTTGTCCAAAACGGTCAAAGCAGCCAGAGAGGTGCTGGCCTCCATTGGCAAGGCAGTGAGGACCTTCCACTCTTCATCATACTCATCAAGGTAACATACTGTCCTTGTGGCGGCAAGAGGAAGCTCATCCACAGAGCAAGTGGAGTGTGAACCCACAGCCACAAACGCACTAGGAACCAGAGACTCCACATGTTCGGCCAGCTCCTGAGGAAGTTTCTTCAAGTCTTCTTGCAGGTCACGGTACATATTGCGAATGAACTGAGCTGACATCTCATGGAGTCCCAATAAGCCAAAGGTGGCTGAAACTTGGTACATGAGCAGGCAGTTGTTGGAGTTGAGAAGATCCTGAAGATGCCTTGCAAGAGATTCGGCCTGGAAGAAAGCAGCACATTCAATGGCTTCCAAAATCTCTTCATCATTCAGAATGGGTCTCTCACCATTGGCCACGGCCAGCATGATTAGGAACCCTTGAGCTTTGAGGTTCCTCACGTGAATCTCTTCTTGATGGCACTCTACCATCCCCGATCTGTAAAGTGCCCTGAAGTATTCACATTCTCCTAACAGTAGAGACTTGTTTGTTTCAAAGACACTGTCTCCAACTCTTACCTTGACAATGTCCATGTCTAGCAGCCTGCTTGATAATTTGCCTTGTGCTCTTAGTTTATAAATACTCACCGTTGGTGAAAAGCCATTGTAAGACATTTAACTTTAACGGTGAGCAATTGTCTACAAAATATCCATCAAAACTCTAACCTTACCCTGGCATTTACACTGAAATGTCCCTCGTGTGTCAGTTAACAAAACTGTCCTCCCTCCAGCTGGCGCATGATGTGCTGGGGTCCGGTTTTGTTACTAAGATAGCACTGCCTATAGATAGCAACAGTGCCTCATGACAGACATTAAACAGAAATGAGCAATGGCTTGAAGGAGGAATAACATATTTACTCATAACACTTTAAGGTCAATGATATGAATTACATAACATCTGTGATTAATTGTGCTTATTGGTTGTTTGTTCTTGCTGGCGGCAGTGTCATTGTATCCAACAATTCAATTAACTAAAGTTTCTAGATTCTTTGAGTTTTATTAGAAGGGATATTAGAAGTGCTTGCTAAGACACAGTTTGTAATAAAAATACGTGAATGATGCCTCAAATTCTTGCAACTGGATATTTAAAGACATCAGACCGATGATAAAATAAACGTAAATCCCAACTTAAATACCATTGTTTTATGTTGAAGGAGGTATCTGTGCCACATTGAGAGAATATCATAACCCAATTGACCCTTTGCCGGGAGTTTTCATTGACAGGCGGTCTGATCAATCATAATGGCGAATCTGCCATTTTGTCCAGCAAACAAACCAGACAGGAGAGTAGATTAAAATCGGTGGACTAGAACTTGAAAAATGGTATGTAATGATGTCTTTCCACTTTTGAACAGTGGTGGACAGTAACTTCGTTACTGTACTTAAGTTAATTTTTCAAGTATCTGTACTTTACTGGAGTAGTTTTATTTTGAGTAACTTTATATTACTTCACTACATTCCAAAGCATAAGATCGTACTTTTTACTTCACTACATTTCATAAAACATATCGTTACTCCTTATAATATATCACATGCTCCAACACGCAGAAGCGGTGTCTGATTCAAGAACGAACTGATTCTTTTCAATTAACCTTTTAAAGGGGTCATATGACGTTGCTAAAAAGACCATTATTTTGTGTATTTGGTGTAATGAAATGTGTTTATGAGGTTTAAGGTTAAAAAAACACATTATTTTCCACATACTGTACATTATTGTTTCTCCTCTATACCCCGCCTTTCTGAAACGCATTGATTTTTACAAAGCTCATCGGTCGTGCGTTGTGATTGGCCGAATACCTCAAGCGTGTGAAGGAAATGTTACGACCCTTACCATATTGTGATGCCGTGTCCGGCCGGAGCGACGAGACAAAAATATTAAAACCCATTATAAACGAGGCATTTGTTGCATCCAGTAGGGACATAATTACGGATTATAATTACTTATACTGTCTTTTTACGCGTTGCGTTGCATCATGCCGCGTAAACATAAAACCATATCTGCATTTGTGATCGTAGAAATGGCAAACAACAAGCGCTACTCTACACTGCTCAAAACTCACGTTTGAATCGTCAGTGGCAAATTCTTTAAATATAAAAAACGTACTTACAGTCTGTGAGTCAGGACAACCGGCATTGTAGTCTACTCTACAAGGATCAGGAAACAGTCCTCCATAACATTTTTTTTTTTACAAAATCTGAATATTTGGGTTTAACTGTTCTGGAACAGTGTTGTAAATACAACTTAACCACTGATTTCTAGTCGTGTCCTCTTTTGGAAGGCCAAACAAAGTAGTTTCGCTTTCACAACAAAACACACAGCGTCACACACGGCGACCTAGAGTGAGCGGAGGCCGGCTTGAGTGAGCGGCGGAAAACATATCGTTACTCCTTATAATATATCACATGCTCCAACACGCAGAAGCGGTGTCTGATTCAAGAACGAACTGATTCTTTTCAATTAACCTTTTAAAGGGGTCATATGACGTTGCTAAAAAGACCATTATTTTGTGTATTTGGTGTAATGAAATGTGTTTATGAGGTTTAAGGTTAAAAAAACACATTATTTTCCACATACTGTACATTATTGTTTCTCCTCTATACCCCGCCTTTCTGAAACGCATTGATTTTTACAAAGCTCATCGGTCGTGCGTTGTGATTGGCCGAATACCTCAAGCGTGTGAAGGAAATGTTACGACCCTTACCATATTGTGATGCCGTGTCCGGCCGGAGCGACGAGACAAAAATATTAAAACCCATTATAAACGAGGCATTTGTTGCATCCAGTAGGGACATAATTACGGATTATAATTACTTATACTGTCTTTTTACGCGTTGCGTTGCATCATGCCGCGTAAACATAAAACCAT